TTTTTTTTACAAAGTATGTCTTACCATGTTTCAAATACATATACCAAACTTGAAACAATACGGCTTTTCAAAATAGCTCCAGCCTTGCGCCTCTGTGCGCAACCAATTAAAAAAAAAAAATATATATAAAAAGCAGCCACACTGGCCCATACATAAGTTAGATATATGGCTTTTTATTTTGCGGCAGACCTTCCGCTGGAAATGCCCATATACGCACAAATATTTAGAAATGAACCCTTTAAATGTGCATGTATGTACGAGCAAATGTTGTACGTGGTTTTAAGGTAAAAGTCGATATCGTATGAATAAATGACCTCGTCATCCATATATATATTTGTATACAGTCACGAAAGCGATGGAATGTTCAGGCTGTTCTCTGAATGGAGCAAGTGCATACATGTATTTATATGTGTAGATATCTACCTTTGTAGCATTAGCACGCTGGGACAATTCAATTCCTCCCATCGAAGCGGAAGTAATTGCCATCGATTGATGTCAACGACACTGTTCCGGGTATGGAATAACAATGGCGAGCCAAATGCAGCAAAACTAAAATGTTTAAAGAGTAACGGGAGAGGGTCTGCAAAGGGATTTCTCTTCAATTAATACATACAGCATATGTAGGTGCATGTACGAGTATATTGTCGCTTGTCACATTATTTAGAATGTTCAGAGTAGAAATTTTTACCATTTCTAAATCTTTAATAAATTTACTGGCTCTGAAATTTTGTTTGCGTGTGACTGAGTATTGCTATGGCATGCGGGATAAGAAAAATGCTCTACGCTTTCGATTTCCTCCTCATCACGGCAGCTACGAATGTAATCGTTTTAGTACACACTCATCCTACTAGCGTAGGTTCCGATCAGGCAATACCCCGCGAGAACTTTATTTACATGCCGGAGCATTGGTCGCTCCAAGCAAACCTTAGTCAAATATACCTTGCTGTCATGCACGTAGGTCCCGCAGACCATCTTGTATTTACCCGTTCGATAAAAATTATTATCCACCCAGAGTTTGCAGGAATAAAGCGGAATTCCAGAATCTCGAGCAGTACTGATTGCTGACAGTAAGTTGATTTTCCTTGCCAGTTCATCTGCAACTCAGGTACATCTTTATGGCCTGGGACCCATTCGACATGGGAGGCGGCATCTCCTTGCCAGCTCATTTAGGGTATTCGTTGATTTCTGTAAATTTAGCGTGAAAAACACTGCAAAAATCTGGCAGACAAAAACTGAAACGCCCAGATATCTAACTTCCTCCGAAAAATTCAACGTTCAAGGAAGGAAGTTGTAACCATGCAATTTAAATTTTCGTTGAAAAAAAAGAATCAAACCGATTTTGCTGGATTGACACTAAGGCCTACTTCTTTGGACTAGGTTTCTAAAATGCGTTAAGCACCTTGAACCAGAAGTTTGGGAATGCTTATCAACTGCCAACGTGAGGGCAAGATCATCAGCGTAAGCAATGACCTGGCAACCTGTACCCTGCAACCGTGACAACAGGGTATTCGTTGTTAGATTCCAAAGAAGTCAGGAAAAGACACCGCCTTGCGGAGTGCCGCGATTTGCATATCTCGTTATGGATACCTTCCCAGAATATATATGTAGTTGTAATGCCAAAAGTCGGCGAACAAATTTTATAAGACAGTGCTCCATCCCAAAGTAAATTTGGCCGTGGAGAACAGCCTCTGGGAGAACATTATTAAAGGCACACTCGATATCTAGGAATACGCCAAATTCAAATTCCTTAAATGCTAATGCCTTTTCAATGATGCTAACAATACTGTGTAGAGCTGTGCCTACGTACCTGCTTTTCCTATAGGCACGCTGAGAGTTATATAGTTTACTCGTATCCATTACCTGTCGCATCTGCAAGTCCAGTAATCTTCCTAAAGCCTTGAGGAAGGCAAAAGTAAGGCTTATCTATCAAAAATGGATTGGCTTTACGTAGGAGTGTCTATCTCCATTCCATTCGCCACTTAGTTTCTGATAATACATCGCCTCCGTTCGGATTTTTCACAACCCCATTTCGCAAGCATTTACCCTCCGACTGTTCCTCAATGCAATCGCAATAATTCTTCCAAGAGTCCCTATTAGTTTTTCTGGTGGCATTCTTAAATTTTCTTAAGGCTACCTTGTAGGCAGTCGAAGAACGATTACGTTTTGTCGCATTAAAGAGCTTTCTACTTTCCTTCCTGAGAGAGGCTATCTTTTCGGCCCACCAGTGTAGTTTCCTCTTTCCTTTCGGAAGTAAAATATGCCCGGAAGCGAAGAGGGCCGCATTACAGGCCTCGGTAATGCCAGCTATGACTTTCTCAATTTATTCAGATGAGCTTAACTCAGCGATAGAAGTAAAGGCCCCGCTTCGTCAGGTGGTGACAGTAAGCCGAGCTTATTGAGAGAATCGTTATTGAACTTTGTACAGTCAGTAAAGTCACTGCGTAAAATATCAATCTCGTATCAAAGCCAATTTGTTATACCCTAAAATGGAGCCTGAAACATAAATGCATACATACATATTTCCGCAAAAAAATTTAAGTCTTCTAATAGAATTTCTTTAAGTTTTCTCATTTTAACGAAACAGATCAACGAAAATTGATAAACTTAAATTTATAACAATTCGTTTTTTCTTTTTTCTTTTCAGTTGCAGAATGCATGACTGTGAAATTCGGCCGAATTTCAATTTTGCTTAACGCAGGCAATAATATGGGAAGAATAAATAATGCCTTGCACAGCAGCAAAAAATTATTATATTTTTAGAAAAAAAAAACAATTACTTTCTCATACATAGGCATATGTATGTATATTTGCTACAAAGCATGGATTAAATAAATGAGTGAAAAGCGTTGGCTATGCGAAAAGAAAAAGTAAAGCAATAAACTCAAAAAAAAAAAACATTGCAACGCGGGTTGAGGCATTTATGTGCCTAAGTAAAAAAGCACAAATGGCAGCAACATCTGTTGAATGCCAATGTAATCGATTGGAATTACAACAAAAGCCAAGTTAATTGAACAATATGAGCATGGAATGTGCACATAAAAAAATACATATACATTCACACATGCGAAAGTAAAAAGGTATTTGAGATTTTTTTTTCACCGACAATAGCACTGAAAGTATTGAAAATATTCAAAGCCAACTGTTAAAATAACAAAAGTAGCACTAAAAAAATAACGTTGGAAAAATAACTTGCAATCAGGGCTGCTAGTTGGGGTCAGGGTAAGCTACTCACACTCCCTAATCATTATACACCGCAATCAGCAACACAGCAGGCGACATGGCTGTACCCATCGATGAGGGCGTGCTAAGCGCTCTGCGGGGCATAACAAGCAAGAATACACGCCTACCCAAGCCGCTGCTAATCAAAGTTTATGTGTCCAGCTTAAAGGAGGGTGAGTAGTCATGCATGTGTTGTTTTATTTATTTATAAATGTGTGCATGTTTTGATCGCCCTTTAAACGATTATTTTCTAAATTCGAGCTCTGATTGCGTTATTAATATTAAAAACACATAAACATTTGGCCTTTACATACATATGTATGAATATTAAAGTGGTCCAAAAATGTATGAGAAAAAATAAGGTCGGATTTTTAATGCTGCCACCCCCTAGGATTGTTCTATACCGAAAGAAAATATACCCCTATTTTTTTTTTAAATTAAATAAAATTTAGGGAGTGGGGGAAAAACCACTTTTCGTAGAAATATTGTAGAATTCTGGAAAATCAATATCTGTCGATCGGAGAACTTTGCTTATCTTCAGAAGATTCCCAGTAGTAGTACCCAATTGTTTCTTTAACCATTTTTCCATGGGAACTATATTTTATAGGTCCTCCAAAGCCCCCAGAAAATGCAATGAGGACCAATAAAAAATCTTTAATATTAAAAAATGATTAAATAATTAATTGGACATTAATACTGGAAATCTTCTGAGGAGAATCACAGTTTTCCAATCGAAAAATATTTATTTTTAAGAATTTTATACCATTTCTACGAAAAGTTGTTTTTTCCCCATATAAATACATGGAAAACTTTGAGTGCTGTGAGTACTCCCTAACTATTTTTTGATTTCAAAATAAAAAATATGGGTATACTTTTTTCGATTCAGAACAATCCTAGGGTGTGGCGGCATTAAAATTCTGACTTTATTGTTTTTGAACCACTCTAATGTACATGTAACTTTTCATATGTTTTTTTAGAATTTTGCCAGGAGCGTCGAATGCTTTTGGAACTAGTTGGTCCTGAACTGCAGTCCATTTACGATGATCGGCAAATTGAGGTAACTCAATTATAAGTGCAATTACAAATAGGATTACAATTACAGTTACGTTTATAATTATAATTAGCGTACCAATAACGATTACAAATTATGATTATAATTACAATTGCAGTAACAGTTGCAATTTCAAATACAATTACAATTACAACTACAGTTGCAATTACAACTACAGTTACAATTACAATTATTATTGCAATTATAATAACAACTATAATCACAATTACAGTTACAGTTACAATTACAAATCCAATTACCATGGGAATTACCGTTATTATTATAATTACACTAACAATTAGAAGTACAAAAACCATTAAGATTACAATTAACATTACCGTTACAATTACAGTTACAATTACAATTACAAATCCAATTACAATTACCATTACTATTACAATTACACTAACAATTAGAACTACAAACACCATTAAAATTACATTAACAATTACAATTCCATTACAATTACAATTACAATATCAATTACAATTTCAATTACAATCACAATTACAATTACAGATTGAAATTGTCGACATGCACTTCGGCACTGGCCCTTTACATATTATGCAAGTCGAACAGGATCCTTATATTCTACAAGATTATCTTCACGAAATTGAGACTTGCTACAATAACTCAAAAAGTGTATTTTTTCTGGTTAGTAAATCACAAACGCTGCAAATGCTTCTTTATCTCTTTGAAAAGATAAAATTAAATATTAAAATTATTAACCATAATTTACCTCTTTAACTTAATGCGTTTATAGGCGTTAATCGGCGATAGAATCGGTCCCATGCCATTACCAACGCACATCGATGACGATATTTTCACAGCCATACTAGAGCATACGCAAACGAGCGATGAAGAGCGGAATTTGTTGCGAAAATGGTACGCACAGACAGCAACAGGCACTCAAAATATAAGGAGTTGCAGCAGTAGTGATGCAGAGGGCAAAGCTGCTAACGCACATAGCAAATACGTGCTTAAGCAGGACTATCGGTGAGTGATGTTTGGATAATTGCATATACATTAGGGTGGTAAAAAAATAATAATAATTACATACACCCCCACAACTGAACAATATCGAAAATAAATAGACCTGTATTTTTTTCTTTTAAAGAAAAATATTTTTACTTGTTCAAAAAATATGTATTTTAAAAAGGGATCGACAACAAGCATTAAATAATTTTTATTTTTTGTGCATTGCAAAATCTTCATTTTTTGATTTTTATTTTCTCGATAAGGGATAATTTTTATACTACTTTTTTATTTTTTCTGTCAATATTGTTCGTTATTTTTTATTTTTTTGATAATTTTTCACCAGAGACTGTCATTTTATGGCCGCACGAAATCTTGCATGATCTAAAATATTAAATCTGGAAGTAGCGGTTATAAAATAATCGAAAAAGGAAAAATCAAGAACGAATAAAAAAAACTTAATCCAAAAATAACGATTGATCGTAAAAATTAAAATCATAAAACAACGTTCAAATTTAATTGAAAGATATAAACGCAATTTTAACGGCTAATGAACCGTTACGGCCGCTGATTTTAAACGATTTTTTTGCAATTCTACGAATAAAATTTTTTCCTCATATAAAACATTTTAAAATCGGCAAAACATAAATATTTACCACAAATAAAAAGCGCGTATCTCATTTTCCATTTTCTATCATTTTTTGGTTAGCAGCAAGGAAATTCCGAAAAATAGGGTTTTCTGCGCATTTTTGAGCCGCCCTATTACATATATATATGTGTGTATGCATAATCGAATATTTATGAAATAATATCTACATAAATATTAATAAGTAAAATGAATATATTTACACACGCATATGTGTTCGTGTAATGGGATTTCTATTGAATTTGCTTTTCTTGGCATATTGTTGACTAAAGCGGCTTTTGCCAAATGCGCCATTGCGTGCGTGCTAAGGCATTTATGATAGCGAGCTCATATTACATACATACATATATATGTATGAGAAAGCAATCAAATTCAGATTAAGCATTTATAAAACAATTACATTCGATTTAATCAATTTTCTCCATTTGGTAGCTGGTGGCACGCATTCCCAACACGTTCCCTAAAGTTTTGCTAAAATATTTGAGTAACGCTGAGTTAAAGTCATATTGAAATTGAACTTAAATGAATCATACAGCCGACATTCCTGCCAAGCGAAATTCAAATGAGAAGACAGTAGATAAAATAAACCGATAAAAATAACGATAAAAAATAAATTATTTTAAAAAAGAAGATCGGATATTATTGAATTGAGAGAGAAAGCAGCTACATATGGGAAAATGTTGGTATTACGCAAAGAGGTAACAAAGTATCAGGAATTTAGCGAGGAAACGTGTAAAATTTTGAAATTTTAATGAAAACTGTTTGAAATGTGATTAATTTTTCTGGACTTTTTTGAACTTTGAATAAACATAGGTTGCAAACAATATCGCTTTTAACATAGCGATGTTCCTGTGCAATAACGACACTATTTAAAATTCAAAAAAAAAACAACCGATACTACTGTTAAGTGGCTCTTGTCTTGTATTAACGGTTATTTTCTATTTAAAAATTTTCACGTAATTTTTTTGTGTGTGCTTTTTTGTCTACTGATGTTATTCATGAGTATTTTTATTTGTGGAAAACTCAGAAGTTGGTGCCAATTTGCAAGGCCTTAGTTTTTAAAAGTAGTTCAGTAGTTTAGTAGTTTTTAAGAGCCTATGAGTTTTTTTTCAAACCTGGCTTTGGAACTAAAACGTGATTACCAGTTCTTATATGTTTGAAAGGCTTTAGCAGGACTTGGAGTTGACTCGATACGTTCCAGTTAGTCGATAAATTTCGATAATTTTACATATATCAATAACTCAATGTATTTGAAAAACACTTACATAAGTCCGATAATTCAATAATAACCAATAACTATCGATTACTGCGCGTTTCGACTACTCTATGAATCTCGATAACTCAGAAATTTGCATACCACGATATAAATCGATATACCGATAACTGGATAAAAACCCTGGTTGACTCTATAATTTTTGATAAATCGGTTAATTTTGATAGCTGCAGAAATTCCGACATCTATTGATAAATTTCGATAACTCGTTACAATCTAGTAACTCAAAAAAAGTTCGATAAATCGATAAACAGTGAAAACTCGATACACGTAAATAACCCTAGAAATTTCGATAGAAAATTCTAAAAACTTCGATTCGATAAACCGTCAAATTTTGGTTAATCAATATATATCGATAACTCGATAAGTTCAAAGAACTCGATAAATTATTTAACTGCATAAATAATGATGAGTCTATAAAAATCGACCACTTGATATAATGGAATTTAAATTTCGATAATCCAATAAATTTTGTATAACTCGATAACAATCGGTAAATTTCGAGAATTAAGATTCTGCGTCTCTATAACTTTCGACAACTCAATAAATATTTATCACTTTGAATAATTCGATACATTCCGTAAACTGAATAAACATGGTAAATTTCGATAACTATGAACTTAGAAGATTCGATAGCTATAAACTTCGATGGCTTTATAAATTTCGATAGCTTGATAACTAAAGTTTTGGTGACTGGATTTATTTCGATTCCTACCGAAAAATTTCACTTTCGCATTTACCTTCAATATTGCCTTCACTTTTTTCTCAATTATTTTTTCATCAACAGATTTATCTTTAGTACAAAGCTTAATTTCAATTACGAATAAAACCAACAAACAAACCAACTAAAATTGAACTGGTTGCAACAACAACTGTACACAATTACGCACATTTTTATACGGCGACTTTGGCCGTACTGGTCAACCAATTTTTTTAAACTCTTTTCATCTACAAAAAATACCTTACCGATGGTGATCTTGGTTTTGAAATCGGTTCGGTATATTAATATATAGATTGTTACTCATACGCCATGTTTACTAACAAAAGTATTCATTTCAAAAGCTTTAGTTCTTTTGAACTTACAAAATCCTTCAAAGGAAACACTCATTAAAGTTAAAGCACTACATACATAGTATGTACAATATATATACGTTATAAATGTGTTGTTCACACGAATAATACTTTTTAGAGTGTTGTTTCAAGACAGCGCCCAGCAATCATCACATCACATTTTGCACAACGATGCTGGCGGGGCTTCTAATCAAGCAACTTGCTTTAAGCAAACTCGCAAAAGCAAGTAACTAAATAACTGTAAATCTTAAGTAAGTAAATGCAGCAGCCATTTGCTGACTTGCTTGCCACTGCCACCGAGCTACGTATATATTCCCCCCCGCGCGCGCGTAGTTATGGTGCAGTCAGCTGAAGTGAAATGCAATGCGATTTCGCACAGCGTTCATTCTTTCGCTTTACAAGATAATAAATATATATATATGTATACAGACATTTGAAGTTTTATAAGTTTGCTTTTCCCACGCTTCTTCCTTCGCATTTGCTCCTTGCTGGCATCATTAAGTTAAGCAATCTTTTCGGTTTATTCTTTCATAAAAATTGCATAAACTTTCAAATTTAACAAAATGCAACTATTTGCCGCCAAGTTCGGCAATGTGAATGATTTAAAGCCAAGCGTGAATGCATACATCTGTTTGCATGAATGCATGCATTTACGTCTTTAGATTTCTACGCGTACATGCATAATCTTTGTATATCTCTCCTCGCTCTACGCTTGGAATTCCGATTTAAGCGAATTTTTTAATATGAATTTTTATCCAAAACCTGGGCGCGAACGTAACAGTTATAGATGAAAACCATCACTTAAAAACTCGCTATGAAGGAAATGTTTAAAAAATAAAAGTCAGTGACTGATTTATATTGATGGCTTTTAAAAATAAAAATCACTGGCTGATTTTTATTTATGACTTTTATAAATAAAAGTCCTCGATAACTGTTATCTAGGACATATAATTTAAAAATCAAAATTAACTGTTATTTGCAGATTATTTAGATAAAAATCAAAAATAATTGTTATTTCAGATTTATAAAATAAAAATCAGTAATAACTGTTATTTAAAGAGAAATTAAATAAAAGTAAAAAATAAAGGTTAAATAGCGATTTTTTTAATAAAAGTTGTAACTATATCTATATGTGAGCTGATTGAATAAAAAACGTCAATAACAAGTAAATAAACCGATCAACACAAAACTGACAAGATAACAACAAACAAATAGACAAACTGTCATCGAAATTGAGCTTGAAATTGAGAAGTTCGTGTAAACAGCTACAATTTTAAATTGAAATTGAGTTTCGAAATTGCGCAATTTCGGGCTTGAGGAAAAAGACGTTTAGCTATGTAAAAAGAAACTTTTTTTTGAAAATTTATCCAATGGGTGGCGTTGGAGTTCCACCCATGGGTGTCGAATCAAAAAATCGTTTCACTGTAGCCTCGTCGTACAACATGTCCCATACAGCACAATCATTGTATTTTTATTCGTCATTCCATCTGCTTCGGTACTCCTTTAGAGAACTCTGCCTTTCAATTGCCTACCAAGCCCAAAGTAGTACCTGTTGGCAAGAGTTATTCTCGGCCTGATCTCCATGCTGGCATTATTGGTTGTATTTATGCTGGATCCTAGGGAGACAAAGTACTTAACTACTTAAAATTCACATTTTGCAACAGTGACATTTGTCCTAAAATGCAAAGACTTTTTATGTTTTATCCGGTGGCACTGGAATCCTTGGGTTTCAGACCGGCGATGTCAGTATTATCTGTATACGCCAAAAATTTACTTTTTATGTTTGTAACTCTGTCATATGACATAGATTTGTTGGGAAATCTACTAAACCAGCTGATCTCCAGTGTTTAGTAGTAAATTGCTCTTTCAAATCTATAATTTTTCTGCTCTTATTTACAGTTCCATGTTGCTAGAAAAATGGCATTCGGAGTATTTACAGCTACGTGATGCGATTGAGCGCTATCTTCAAAGCATTAAACGAAATGCAAATACAAAAAATACTCTCTCAGAGGATTTCATGAACCGAGCACAGAAGCTGAGAGAGACACAATTGGAACAGGAAGTGCAAAGAGCGTTAGGTAAGTGGGATTGAAAAACTAGCTTTTAGCTTGTATAGGAAAATTTAAATCTGGTTACTTCTTACTAAAGCCAGCTGTAATAATTTTATTCATTCACTATTTTAATGGTGCGCCACTAATTACTTTGTTCTCTTCCGAACAGAGCTGTCGAATGACAAAATTTTGGCTGTGTTTCGAGAATGGTCATCACAGTTGACCACTAAAAATGCTGAGGCAGGTGAACGACTACGCAAAATGAAAGATCAACTCACTATGAACCTCTCCTCCGACAATTACACAACGCTGGTGTAAGTACAAAAAGGCAGTTTCAAATTTTAATTTGTCAAATTTGTTTCAAGTATTCGATTAGTTGATTTAAAAATCCGAATAACCACTTTATTTGAATTTCTTCAAAATAAAAATTACTACAACTAAAAGTAACCCCTCAAAAAATTATCTATCTTTTCAATTATTTACCCAACAGCGTTGCTGGCAAATCGAGTGAGCATGCAATCGATCCCGACAATGAGGACCATGAAACTTATTTGAGTAAATTTAAAAACAAAGTTTTTGATAAATTACGTTTTCTAATCGAAGAGCATATAACCAACGATCCTGATGTCATCAAGGGGAGAAGAAAGACTGTGCAGGTAAGACAAGAATCGAAGATAAAATAAAACTACTTGTAGAAAAACACATTAACCAGGTCATTCGCTAATAAAGTGAGCGAGTAGCTAATTTGACCTACAAGGTTGCAATGTGTACAAAACTTCACCTTTGGTAGTCAAGGCTTGCGTGCACATCTAGACTTGTATATTTATGCAGGTATACATCCATCATCGTTACTACTACTCTTGGCTTTCTTTCATTAGCGTAATTGCTGGCAACAATGTGGCGAACAAAAACAACAGTTCACCTTCTCATACCTACATATATACGTATATATGTATGGACATAAGTTCATAATGCAATAAATTATTCCTATGAGATTTTTAGCTGACATTTATCGTCCTCCCACACCACCTGGCAAATATTATTTAGGACAACTTTTCATTTGGAACTGGCTGCAAATTTTATTCATTTAAAAGTTTTGTGTAGGTTTGTCAGCATTTTAAAACTTATATTACTTTTGACTTCTTAAAACTGTACACGCAACATATGCCCACATTAAGCATATATACATACGTATGTGCATTAGGGTGGTCCAAAAAAAAGTAAAGTCGGAAATTTAATGCTCTCACCCCCTAGGAGTGTTCTATACCGAAAAAATATACCCCTGTTTTTTTATTTTAAAATCAAAATATATTTAGAGGTCGCTCAAAGCGCTCAAAGTTTCCCATATATTTTGTATGGGGAAAAAAAGACTTTTCGTAGAAATGGCATAGAATCCATGGAAATCAAAATTTTTCAATCTGAAAACTCTGCTTCTCTTCAGAAGACTTCAGAGAATAATGCCCAATTGTTTATTTAAACATTTTTTAATTTTAACTATTTTTTATTTTTTTCTTTTGTATATTTCTGTTTGTATACTTGATTTTTTTTGGGATATTTCGGAGACCCTGTTCAATATTTAGGTACATAACAAAAATTATTAGCTGCTTTGGTGGACAATTTATTTAAATTAATTACATTTTCTGTGCGCCCCAGGCTACTAAATAGTTTATTAGATAGAGCAGAACCCGTTGAGAAAAATTTCAAAAAAAAAAAAATGAAAAATGGCATATGATTAAGAAAGTTTATTGTTGATTCGCAAACAGCTTCTCTTTTTCCTTGTTGAATGAGGAGCAACTTTTCCGACAGGGCAACAACAAATAGAAATTTATTTATTCAAACTTAGTTGCACGAGTTCATAAATATGGCAGCAAAGTATTTATGTATATGTAAATACGTGCTCGCGATAATTTTTCAAAGTAAATTCAGTTAACAGCTTTTAATTGACAGATTGTTCATGTTTTTACATCGCTGGTGTTAAAAGTGCCATCGTGACGCATTCATTCTTGAAGAGTCCTTAATTGGCACACTTTGCGCATAAAGCTAAAGCGATGTTGGAAAAGTTAAATTAACGTTCAAAATAAAATATAAAAAAACACACCACGCCCTCAGTGAGGTTTTACTCATTTATGAACAGGCAAGACTTATGAAATCAACCAAGTAGAAAAATACATACAAACATATCGAGCCCTAACCGCCAAAATGACGTAAGCGACACTTTTTTCAAAATTTTCTTTTTGATGCAGAAATATTCCTAGAGCATCTAGATGCATTTCTGCATCAAAAAGAAAATTTTGAAAAAAATGTCGCTTACGTTATTTTGGCGGTTAGGGCTCGATATGGGCAAATCGCACGAGTTTTTTTTTAAGTGTCATTCCCTTCTTTCGATAGAAAAAAGCTACAGCATTCTTCTTGCATTTATTTCAATTGATTTCCAGAAACAAGTTCTTTAAAAATATAAGTTTTTGAACAATGTTCCCCTTAAAACGATTATTTATGCGAAAAAGTACCGAAATTACTCATCTTTTCATTGTCACTTGAAAAAATCATAATGGATTTTTTTTCAATAACTTTAGAAAGTTTTCAAATATAATGTTCATATTAGAAAGTTTAAGTTACTTTTAACATTAATCGATGAAAATATTCCTCTTGCCAAAACGAACCAATCTAGAGTAATAAAGCTAATGTGCCGCCAGAAGAAAAAAAATTACATTGATTATAAGATGAGGATGGTTTGCGAAACAAAAATTCCAATTTTACAATTTTTATTGGCACACTCGAAATTCATTCTGAAAGTGTTATATAAATAAAGAAATTATTACAGATGTATGTTCGAGAAGAAAACTGTAGAAAAATATTCCACGCCAATATTTAATTACTTTAGAAAAAAATTACTTTTAAATTAAGGCGTGCGAGTAAACGTGTTAACTGACTGGGTATGGTGCTACGGGGCGTATACGTTACAGACACAACTACGGGTATACGATCACGAGTTGTTATTTTGACATTTTAGTAAATATCGTTGATGGTTTTGCAAAACCGCCCATCGATCAGTTGCATAACCGCCTAAATCGCCGTTATGGCAAAAATGAGATTTGCTTACCCTCTACTCCAGGCATCGAGATTAATGCATATAAATTCTTAAATCGTCGTTAAAACAACAGATTTGTAAAATAATAGCTAGAAAAAATACCGCCTATTAAGGCAATGCCGTCAAAGAAAAGCCATTTTTTGCGCTCCTTTGCAATTAGTCGATGGGAGTTTTTGCAAAAACATCGCCCATATATATTTTCTAAGTTTTCATTTCAAATACAATTTCGCGATGGAATCTCGTTCTTTATAGAAAGCAGAAACAAAAACACCATTAAATACCATTATAATCGGTAACTGCTAAGCTTTAGCGAAAAACGCTGAAAATCAAAGTGCAATCGTGGCCCTCAATACACCCACTAGAAATGAGAGTTGCGGCTTTGTGAATTCAAGAAGATCCCTTGACCGCCTGCGCTCCAACTTTGGTCAGAAGGACCATGCAGTTACACACGTCCTTTTCTTAGCCCAGCGTTTGCTATGCTCACACAAGATCCATCTGTTCAATAGTAGTGCGGCGGTATTAGCCAAAGATGCTCCCATGCTCTCGTTTATCGGTGCAATCGATGCGAGGGTAGCTCTCTTGTTCAACTTATTCACAACGCAGTTTCCTGTACCAGTATTGTGGCCTATCAGACGTATAAGCCTGACCATTAAATAATCAGACGTAACCTAAACAGAGGTTAAGCATTCCACTCCGCGCACCAAAGTGCCGCTACACCACCAGATTAGGTGTCTAGCCACTTTACGGTTTCGCGTAGCCTGGAAAACACCACAATGATATGGACGTATAAGCTTAAGATTCACAGGGAGCTTCTTGCAGAGTAACCCTTCACCGACCCTTCCGTTACACTGCGACGCCACCGGTGCCTCCTGCCAACTTTTACTGCCTCATATGTACATTCATCAATAGGGTGGCCGTAAATGGGTTCTTATTTAAGATATAAATTTAATTTAAATTTTTTCTGCATAACTTTTTATCCAACGTTAAGCACAATGCCGCGTTTACGAGCAGACAATTTTCAAATCTTCTTTCTTCGCTACATAAAATCGGTCGTTTTCATATTTTTTTTTTTTTTTTGCTAAAAATGGTGAACACGAAACTTAAAAAGTTTTCTGACAAAGTAAGCTTCGGCAGTATTTGCTTGGATTGGATAAGTTTTTATTTTTGTGTGCGCTTCTTTAAAAGGTAAAAATCTTTTCATTTAAATTCATGCAGTAGTTTGTTTAGAATTATTCAGATAGGTAAATAAGCGGAATACATACATATATACGCATTAGTAATCTATTCATTAAGCTAAAGCATTTCCTAAGCGCACCTGGCTATTGAAAGGCAGCTAAACAAACCGAATGAGCCTTGAGTAAAGCTAACAAAGAAGAGCAAAAATGAAAGGGAAGCCAAGGAAAACTAAATATAAATCCCTTTCTTTACAGCCGTTCTAAATTTTTCACGTTTTTACTTGCTCTCTTTGGTTGTATTTAAACCTTTTTTTGTTTGCGTGAGTCCACCTGCTTTCATCATGTATGTGCGAACTTTTTTTTATGAAAACAAAAACAAAATAAAAATATTCGCTACAAATAGGTAATCTCCTCCGTTTTTGAAGTCAGTTAAAAAAAGAATAAAAGCTCTACCGCTGTTGCTTAAATTTCCACGTATTTTGTGCTGGCTTAAATTTTTGTTGTTCTTATACATATGTATATATATATGTATTTATGTACAAGCACAAACCTTTATTTGTATGTTTATGTTAAATTCGAGGAAAAAACTTTTAAGCTGCGAGCAATCATCGGGCTAAAACAAAGGGTTGGCAGCTGGTTTGAAAAAAAATGGCTTTATTGTTGTTGCTGCTGCTGTTGAGTTACACCATACATTTTTTCTTTGCCGCAACCAAAAATGCTCGTTGCTGTACTAAAACAATTGTTGATGCCACTACTTTCGTTTTTCGCCTGCAGCTATGTGTTTGTGAAAGCGGCGCGAAAGGAAAATGGCCACAAGAACGGGGATGTTGGTGGCAAAATAACGAAAAGCAAAAGCTACAAAACAATGAGTTGGCATAATTTCAGGGTGTGAAATGCTTTGTTGTTTTTTATAATTGTATTTGTCCTTTTTATGAATGGGCTTTTTTACATTGAAAATAATACAAAGTAGTACGTAATGCAGATAATGAAATGTGGCTGTGGAGTACCTGAAAATACAATGCAAATTCTTGCTAAAAATAATAAAATTACAGCAATTTTCGGTGGATCTGGAAGGAAGTATTTACAAAATGAATGATCCTTTATTATAAGCCAAAGCATTTGCTGTACTAACAAGGGGCCGTTAAGCAATCATGCAAGTCTGTGTAATTATTACGCAAAGAGGAGCTATGTTTGCACTAATTAGGAATGTGTATATATGTATGTACTTTAGGGTGGTCCAAAAACACAGCCGGGGGGAGGTAAGTTTAAAGTGTTTCTCTAAAAAAAAAAAAGAATACTCGTATTTTTTTGTATAAGAAAAGAATTACATTTAGAACTGCCTCAAAGCCTATTGAGTCCATGTATTTTATAAGGGGAAAAACACATTTTCTTT